CCCCGGCACCAGGCCCCCGGCGGGGGTCCAGGGGCTGTCTCTTATACACATCTAGATGTGTATAAGAGACAGGAGAGAGAGAGAGAGAGATCTTCTTCTTCTCCTCCTCCTCCTCCTTCGCTTCTTCTTCTTCTTCTTCTTCTTCTTCTTGCCCCCCCCTTGCCCGCCATCACCGACCACCATTTCCGATTTTTTTATTTTTTATTTTTGTGTCTGCCTCGTGCAGGCGCGCGTGGGGCCTCGTCTCCTCCACCACCCACCTTCTTCTTCTTCATCATCTTCTTCTTCTTCTTCTTCTTCTTCTTATTCTTCTTCTTCTTCTTCTCACCCACCCTTTCTCACCCCCCACCCTCCATCCTTTCTCACCCACCCTTTCTCACCCCCCGCCCATCTTCGACCTTCATCTTCTTCTTCTTCTTCTTCTTCTTCTTCTTCTTCTCCTCCTCCTTCGCTTCTTCTTCTTCTTCTTCTCCTCCTCCTCCCCCTCCTCCTCCTCCTCCTCCTCCTCCTCCTCCTCCTCTTCTTCTTCCACATACAAACCTGTAAGGTCCGAAGTTCACTTTTTATTGCAGATTCGGGGTCCTCTAGGGTAGCGCAGCACAACCCCGCCTTCAAAAAAAAAATAAAAAAAATTCCTTGCTGTGTTTTTGCGTCACCCGGTTTCGCCGGGCGGACCCCCCCGGGCCCAACCGGCCGGGCGGCGGCCAAGCCTACAAAATTAGGCTATTTTTTTCACACGACCGGGTGACCCGGTCGTCGGACCTGCCCGGGCATGACGCCCGGACGACCGGCTGGTCGTCAGAATCTTCCTAGATACATAGCTTATTTTTACCTCTATTTGTTTGGTCTGTGCTCATTACAGCTTTTCTGCTTTTATTGTCACTTCCAGTATTAGCAGGTGCTATTACTATGCTATTTAGTATTAACTGATAGAAATTTTAATACCACAGTTACCACTATTTTTTTATCCTGCAGTAAGGGAAAGTTTAATGTGGTGGCATGAGTAAAAGTGAAGTTTCTGCTCACTCTGAGCCATAGCCATTAATGCCTACGGACCTATGGTTGTGAAAAGAGGGAGGAGGGAGGCAGGCATGGATGCAGGGG